TAATCTCATTGTTTACGTTGCCCGTCTATGAAAGCTGTTTAAAGATGATATAATGCCACTCGGCGGTCTAGAAGCTAGATATGAATAGCATGCCGCGGAAGCTTGGCAGCGAGGAAAGAGGATCAGAAATGCAGGGGGCGCAATGTTATTACAACTTAATACACGAAATTGTTCTGCTGCGCGAATATTCGTTTAACGTTTACAACACACCGTTCTATAATAAGCGGATATAGGATACGGAGGTCGGCCTGTTCCCGTCCCGAAGGTGCGTCCATGGTATTATTTTGTGTCGGTGTTGGTGGAATCTCATCGTGCAACCCTCCCACGCTCGAGTATAGAGAGGAGAACCCTTGAACCTGCTCCGAATAATATTTCGTTCCATTATTCATAAACATTTTATAATCTTCTTAGCACGGTGAATTATTGCTGCTCGCACAATTGAAATAATGCGGCCTCGAGACGTTGCGCGTCCGAGGCGGGGTGCTCGGGGGCTGGGACCTCCGCGCATCGAAAAACGGAGTCGAGGAGAATCGAAAAGAGAGACCATGACGCCATGAAGGTGAGGAGCGGGGAGGGGAGACCGGGGGAGGATGAAAGAAGACAGGACGAGGTGAAGAAAAGTTGGCACGCAAACGAGAGAATAGAACGAGTTCGTTCCCTGAAGTGGCGTTGAAATGTTTCGAAGCGAGGGAAAAATAATTGGACGAAGAGTCTGTCGTTACTATCGCGTCGGAGGAATGCGGACCGCCTCGACGATGACGAAGACAACCGTCGTGTCTTTCCAAAGGATCGCAGAAACGAATTCCTTTCTTAAACTCCTCGTTACCGGGACATTCTATGCTTCCCCCTCCCCCACCGCTGTGCTTCGAATCTACCAATCTATTAGGTAGTCCGGAAATAAATTGTGGTTTTCAATGATTCAATCTTTAGAGCTCCGTATAATACAAATGTTTAATCCTAGTTTACTATGCAGCGTGTCATTTTAAAATGTAGATGTAGTTTTACCTTTCAGCTGCTAATCTTCTGTTTCTCCAATTTAGTTGGTATCGGTTTGATGAACCTAATGCAGACATGATAATCGCGAAGAAGCGATTGCGCGCAATGTTTTCATGTGAATTCGAAATTGAATGTAAATTGGGACGACATTTGAGAGAAAATAAGAATGGATATGTCGTGCAGCTCAAATTTAGACGAAGATGAAGTTCTAAAATCCGCACGAAAGCACAAATCATTGTATTTTTAGCAATCGACTTGAGTAAATGGGAAAAATCCGATTGTCTTAGAGTTCGCTTCTTTTGAGCTGAGCCTCCATCTTAGGGCTAAGTAGGTAGATTCACGAACATTGGGCAAGTAAACATCTTTAGAGTTTATTTGCTATAGTAAGTTTATTTGTATAGTAAGCATATCATAGCTGATATTTCAAAGGTTACAGAAATTTCACTTTGAAACATTGATGCACCTTTGTTAGTAACAAATGACCATTTCTTAAATGTTTAGGTAATTTTTCATAGTGGAAGATCTTTCACAGTAAAAATAACGCATGTAATTTTACTGTCTTTTATATTTTGAATAATGACAGATAGATAATAATCGTTTCATTTTATAGTCGTTTTCTATACAATACGATGAAGTAAAATCTTACACATACAAAATTCTATATAAATGTCATTTCCATGTCTAAAAATCCCTAACTAAATTTCGTAGGAGAAATATCGGCATAGAACTGGTTCAGGACACTACACGTCACTAGCGTAACTCTACTTGCTGTAGCAGGAGACCCAAAGTGATATACAGGTGAAGTCGTACAAGAGAGATCTCCTTGATGTCTCTATTACATCGCGGATTAGCTACTTCTGAAATTCAAGTGAGACCGGGTGGAGCGGTGATGAAGCGTGTTCGGAAAGTTTCCGTCAGGACGGAACCAAGACAAGGGGTGTAACGGTAGAGTTGCACGGAATAACCGATCGCTGCCTTCCTATGAAGATAGTTACATAACATCCGTTGGAAACGTAACATTCGACATTTCAGAATAAGTGAAGCTTCATTTACTAATAATAAAACTAGTTTAATCTAAATTTATTACATTAATCTCAATGTAAATAAGTGGAACGGTTTTGGGTCACCAATTACAAAATATTAGAAATATATTACACACTTCATGTAAAATATCACACAAAAATTATTTATTCACATTTACATCTTTGAGATTAATATTGAAAAATTATTTTTCCTTCAGCGAAAGTTTTATTTCTCGAAATAATTATTGTCTCAGACAAATGGTTATGTTTACAGATAATGTATCCTAATATGTCTTAAAATAATTATATGGTTAATTTCAATAAATATAAATTTCAAATACTTAAATTTTCTACATCCTAGTTCTGAAACTCTTCGAAAGAAACAGAGTCTGAAAAGTGAGCTTGTTGACTGATGTAGAATAATGACTAGATTGCATACATTTATACAAGTTATAATGTAACTAAATTCCCAGAGTTCGATATCCTGTAAACATTAATCTTTTTAAAAAATTTCCAATACTTTCTTAGCCACTTCAGAGTGGACCTGCTCAAATTTTCCTCTAGCCACTCTATTGACCTGGAGGAACGATTCTATCGCGTTTTCATCAGGAAACCACCATCATTGAGAAGCAAGCGGCAATGATGGAATTACCAACGATCATCGCGAGCAACAAGCGCAACGTTGGGGTGCATTGATCAGTTCGCAGGAAGCAATGATTGCAGTCGCGAGCTTTTAATTAAAGTGCTTGAAACGTGAGTGCAACATCAACCCGATTTTCGACAAAGAGACCAAAGACTCCGAGGCAATGACAGGAGCTACAGTTCAGCAAAAAAGGAGAGGCAGCCGATGTTGGAAACGAGAGATAGGAGATTCGGTGTCCGTGAAGCGAAAGACCGAGTCCTCTGACATCATAAGGGTCCTTCCTATAGTACTGCTCTCCTTCCACCCCCTGCCCCTCTTCACAATCATGCTGCCACCGCCGAGTTCCTTTCGCATTGCAAACCTATCAAAGACGATGGGTGCCATGTTACATCACCGACTGCGCTCAAAATCTTATTAACTGTTGAAAGTGAGTTTTACGTCGAGGTGGAATTTAATTACATTCACGCCTGCTTGCCCACTTAACCCTCCTTTCTTTTTGTCGCGGTGCAACTTCAATCATCCAACTCTTTCCCTCTCCCCGCCCCACCCCCGTTTTTTATCTTCCCTTTCATTTTCTCGCGCTTTATTTCTCCGATTTCCACCCTCGTTTTATTAATTTTCCCCGATTTCATCTTCCCCCCTTACCAGGCCAACCTCAAAAACTCAATTAGTTTCCCATTACCACGGTCCTCGATTTTTATACGAAAAGCTCTTTTTTTGCGTCATTGGTTCTCTTAACGGAAATTGCTGCTATTTTATGCAATCGTTTCTTGAATCGTTTCTCCTTTGCCTGGAGTCTCTTCAGCGTTCTAAGGGGAATTTTAGCTGATTCGTAAATGGAGTTTTCGCCTACTTTGTGTTGCAGCAAAAGGAATGAGATTATAAAATCGACATATAAAGAAACAGAATTACTCTTTTGTGTATTACCATTAACATGCTGAAGCAAGTAATGTAGAAAATATAGGTATTTAATTTCAGGAATGCCATTCTTGAATATTAAAAATGGAAATTCTTGTTGCGCGCTATCATTCTAATACGTAATTCGAGTGATAAGCACCTTCAGAGCAAGTGCTCTCTTTGAGACAACCTTCGGTAAAATCATTTATGCCGAGGATCTATTTTACACAGTTGGCTTATATCGATCTTAGAATTGAATGCTAGATTTACGAATGTTTATTGTGCACTTTATTATTGTTCCTAGAAGAATAAATGTTCGTTCGTATAGATCTAGGAAATTAGCTTCGTAAACAGAGAATAAGGACACGTGTTCGTATAGTTGTATTAATCAAAATCAGCTTATACATTTATTAAACATTATTTAGCAAATTTAATGATACCACATAACGTACTGTGAAAGTTTAAGTTTACGTATACTGTAACATACACGTGTTCTTCATGAATAATTTAAATGTAACTATTTTCTCAACAACCAAATGGATGCACTACATTCAAGGTACATAACGTTGTTAAACTGAAAGTGCCAACTTCGTCAGTTTATGAATTTTAATTAATTTTTATTATCAGAGGATCTCGTTTATTCTAGATAATCAACTACAAAAGTATAAAAAAACGCCAGGGCTTTTAAATTTACATACATGTCTATTATGAAATAGAAAGTTAAATAACAATAAGTTATTAAAAATAACTACACAATTAATTGAAACACATGATTATTTTAATAAAATTGGCATTCCCTTAAAAAATTATCGCTCTTGTAATAATTAATTATATTTTCAATAATATCAGCATGAGGTGGATAAACCTTACATGGCCGGGAATGATTTTTTCAGCAAAGACGTTATAGTTTCAAAAAGGAATACATCTCAGTCACTTGTACTGCAGAGACAAAAAATTATTTAGTAATTTAGCAATAAAGTATACAAATCATAAGGTAGTTTTATACCATTTACTATTTTATTATATTTCACCAAATCCAAATTCACAACCGAAGAAAAATGTTCAAATATACAAGACATTGTGGATAAAAAAGAAAATATACGTATTTAAGAGAAACGTATTTATCGACAGATTTAATGTATTCTGACATATCCATAAACAATTTGAATATATTCGTAAATTACTTTCGATTCTCTTTAGATATATTACAGATTAAATTGTAGCCTTTTAAAATATTATACACATAATCCACAAAAATTCAATCTGTTCAAAAACTTCTGTTTATTGGAAGATTCGATCATTTCAACGCGTTATAGGCATTACTCTGCACGTAATTCCACATTTCTGTGGAATAACTATCGTGTACCATACACATACAAGAACATAAATATGAAATAGCAGTATATAAGTATAAAATAATATGAATATAATATTTTACTCACCTCTGCTACCGCCGTCAGGTCCTCGGAGGATGGTACACTCCTCTATTGTGCCGAAGGCAGTGAACAACTTTCTGACATCGTCTTCGGTTAGTTGCTTGCTGAGCATTCCCACGAACAGCTTTCTGTCTGTGGGTCGTCCGCGTGTCGAAATAAAGGGGACAGAGAAAAAAAAACAAAAGAAAGTGTATTAGTCTCTGGTCAGAGAAATATCGAAGGTTTCGCTTATAGCGCTTATTAGGCATTAAAAAGAGATTTTGCGGCTAACACCGAGAACGACAAAGTTACACGGTTACACCAGCATCCACCATCCTAAGGGGAAGGAGGTAAGGGTAATAAATATACATATATACGTATATCTACATATTCCCGCATGTATATAGATATATACGTATGTGTATATGTCTATGTTAATATGCAAATTTGACACGGATACGCAGCCGATTACGTAACCGGCTGCGAACAATCATTAAGAGACAGTTACGCTTCGAATTATATATTTTTCGAATCAAGTGTGGAAATATCAAATCAGTTTCGAAATGTAAAAATGTATATATGTATGAATACATTGATACGTTTCCGATTGTGGATATAAAACACGGACGTAAAATAACAAGGATAATATATAAAGTATCGTTTGTAATGACTAATATCAGTAACAGTATATATATATATATATAACACGACGTACACGTGTGACAGTGACGATAATATATTTCAGTGGGAGTTAGAAGGTAGTAAAAGTAACAATAACAAAGTAAAATTAAGATAATTCAACCAATGTCAATCCTACGTCCTACGCCACAAGCCGAAGAAACAGATGAAGAAAAAACGGTATTCGCGTAAAAATCGGATGGGGCGTACAAGCGACTCAACTAAGGGCGGAAGTTTCGGCGATAATGTCGTCTACTGTATCATAGTGAATTTCGTTCTACGAAATACAATAACATTTCTGAAATTTTACATTCCAGATTCTTTACGGAGAAAATCATTTTAATATTTTACGTCGATCTCGGAAAATTTGTTTTCGAAAATTGGAATTTGACAGATTTTTATCTTTAAAAAGTTTATCACTTCATACTTTGATTTACATATATTTCTAGACTGCAAAATTTGAATGTCATAAAAATGCTGTATTCGTAGACGACACTGCCAGCGAGTGTTCCGCATGGTGCTGAGGTCAATATATCGCTTATAAAGGGTCACACGCCACTGAATGATTTTCCTTGTTAACAATCTGCAGCTATTTCTATCTCAAAAACAACTAATGGAAATAATTGGAAATAGATGCTATTTTCCGTTTCACCAAGAATATTTGGGCCTGATTGTACTTCTATATTTTTTGGACCATTTGTCGCATAAATTCGTCAATAAATTATAAGATACGGTGTTAAATTGTGAAAGCATGTTATATACGTTTTAAATGGAAAACTACAGTTTAAATAGAAAGCTTCAATCTTCTTACGAAAAAAGAAAATGATGAATTTTCCTAAGAAATTTTTCATTATTTCGCGTTATTCCGAAATGCAGTCGTTCACAGAAATAATTCAATTTTCGCAATCGTAATAAGTGTAACACACTTTTTAAGTTCCGAAAGTGTTCACACGACTTGTTGTTCTCGAGAAATTACTGTTCAAGACGATAAGATCGTTCAACATTGCGAGTTATTCCTTTTTTTGGTTCGACCGAAACAAATTCATTGTTTGAAGGCAGAAAATCTGATAATCGACGAAGACAAATACTTCTCAGAAATATCTGCGCCGAATGTGTATCCTGCGTGTACGTGTACCCCTGTATAATATCGATAATAAATGGTCGTGGGTGTGCGAGATCGACTGGGACTACGTGACAGAAAATGTGGCCAATAGGAACACGTGTGGAAGGATTTGATATCCTGGAGTTAGTAGGATTGCGGTAAAGATGGAGGTGGTACGGAGAGAAACGGGTGGACAAAAAAGTTCTTAATATAGAATCATATCTAAGTAATAGAATAAGATAAACGTAGCTGACATCATAATCAGAAAATATTTACAGAGGTGATAAAAAAACACATCGACAACGAACGAGACAACACATCCAACGAGCGAGCCACTATTTTATGGTCATAGCTGTAAAGAGCGGTATAGTATATATAAATATATAATTATATATAAATATATAATATTTACGCTTGAGGTTGTTTATACGAAGGGATCAGGTGAAAAAAGTTGAAAAACTGGGATCAATTACGGGATTATGAGTCTTACGAGGCGTACGACGATATATAGATGTATATATATATAAATATATATATTCGGTCCTCGGAACAAAAAGGGAAGCTGTCTGCAACATACGGTTGGTGGACGCTCTGAGATAATTCACCCTTCAACATTGAATTAGTCGCAGGAAGTACCTTTAAACGGCCAGCGAGACGGCCATATTAACACCTTACCAACCGGAATTCCATTAATAAAGTTCTCAACGTACGTATCCGAAAATAGTAGGAATAATAATTTTAATTAAGACTCGTTAGTTTACAATTATAACTGTTATTCATATTCGAACGTAGATTAAGGAATTTTCAGCTGTTAATCCTCGCGCACCATTCGAACCGATTTAACCCAAGAACAAACTTTTCATTCGAAATAGATTGTTTATCACGGAATTATGCAAATAAATTTAACGTCAAGAATTTATTATATGGTAACATAATTGAAACATAGACTTCCTCACTTGAACATAGACTGGATTTAGTATATAAAAATGAAACAATTACCTGAACAGTGTGCAAGGCAACAGTTCCTAAGAGTATTAAACGACTGGCGGCAGGTAAAATGTTAATTTATAGGCCCTTAAGGGTGAAATTTATAGGCATCTGAGAGCGTCTACGCACATCCCGCCGTAACGAGTTTTTAACAATGTGATAAACGCCGGTGCGCAATAAATAGAGCAAAAACACGAACGACAAGTTGACGGCTACTAGGTAAACGTTCACGCACGTGGGCACGCACAACATTATTTGTAATACCTTTTGTATAGTGTACCACGCTGTATGTTCGAGTTCTCCGATGAAATGGACTAGGAACGGCTGAACGGTAATCAAAACGGAGAAGGGTTTTCAATAAAGACGCGTCGCATCGTACGAACCGGATAGAAATAAGAATAACTTTCTTGTCGCGATCAGTCCGACGGAACGCATTCTGAACAATCGAATATCAATTCATTTGGAAAATCGGCGATACGATCGACTGCGGATGCCAGAAGATGAATTTTGCTGGAGACTGTACTTTTAACTGTTCCAAGAAACATGCATTTTTCTAACAAGTTCAAAGGATCAGAAATTTTGAACTTCGACGAAGTTTCGTGTCGGAAAAATATTTGCACCTTGGATTCTGTTTTCGTTCGAACGTGGATATACAGGGTGATCGTCGAGATGACTTTCAAGAATTCTGAGGCGCTTCTGATGATCTAATCAAGAATAGTTATAAGTAATGTTTTTCTATTTTAAACAAGCTTTACAATCATAATCCTAAGTGAAATTAGAAACTTTTTCTTGAAAAATTCAAGGTTGTTGTATCGTATAGGTCCTAAATAGAATTGAATAATTCTATTTATTTGAACAAAAATCGATAACATATATGTATCTATTATTTATACAAATATAATCGATCCCTTCATTGTTCTAGCATAAATTTTCAAGGAATCTTGGTTCAAAAGAAATTTGGTTATTTTAAATTCACAAATGGGGCAAAGTTTCATCTGCAACTTTTTTCATTAGATCAACGCAACCGCCTGAAAAAACGTATGGTCTATCACGGCAAACACCTTGTATATGTATACTGGTCGCGCAACGGGTCTAGAAATTGGACCGTGGTCGAGGGAGGAAAAGAAAGTTCGTGAAGGAATGCTGGGTATCGTGGGTCAAACACTAGCGAGCAGCAAAATGAACTTTGCGGCGAGCTGTGCTGGCTGAATCAGCGGTGATGGCGTGATGAGAGAGAAAAATTCGTTTTTTTCTTTTTTTTCTCTTAAAGAGGGTTCTCCTTCTGCCGATTTGCGGAGAAGAAGAAGAATAGAGGTACTGTAAGGAAGCTAGCTATCTCCTGGAAGTCGAAGTTACCTTCAGCGGCCGCCACCGGTGCCTCCTACTTCCAGAAGATGGCACTGGTGCTCCCGTCGTCCATCATGCACTCTGGAATACAGAACAGAAACAAAGAAATGCTATTGGGCCCAAATTATATCATTCGTGTCGTCGTTCACTATATCGTATCTTCTCAAGATAAGACATGCCCTCCCTGCCGGACTTCGTTTTAACGAATATTTTGTTCTTTTCTTTTTAGCGTGATTACACACAGCAGCGTACTTCTGTTGCGCTTTCTTAAACGATGTAATGGAACGTTTCAACTTAAATTTGCGATCTCGACGATTCACGGAAACTGAGTTCGTAATTCCTAAGGATTACTCAGATCTCAGACGATATCTTTTGGCGATGCAGTAATTTAGAGGGAAACCATTAGTCGTATAACAATAGAGCTCTTCCATTAACTCTAGAAAGACTAAGCATTTCTTAAGAAATAATATCTTTAACAAAATAAAATTCTTCAGAACAGATCTTGAAGCCTCAAAATGCAACTTTTCTTGTAATATTCTATACCAAGTGTTATCGAAACTTTTGACTATGCATCACGGTAGATATCGCATTTTATACAGTGACCCAGTATCTGAATTGTACTGTTCATTTCCTCGCCATTGACCAATGTGTGCATTGCAAATGGTATACATTTAACTGCAACTCACTTTATCTACTTCACAATCTACAGGGTCATGAAAATCCGCAGTTTGATAATCTTCATTCTACATAAAACAAATGGCATACACATTTTTCTTCCGGATATGCCCCGACTTCTCCTGTGATTTTCAAACCAACGTCATTTTTCCACAACTTGCCTACTAAATAGAACGTATTAATTAAATTACCATGTTATTGTTGGTTAATCCTCAAAAAGGACAACTATCCTCTCAAAAAATAATAGACAGATATAACGAAAACGGAGACATAAAATAAATTAAAATAAAATAACCCTACAATTATCCTTTTGAAACGACAACGAGTATATCTAAGTTAACCCTTTGCACTCGATTTATTTTCAATATTATTGGGTGTAAACTTGTATTTATTCTTAGGGCAATGAATCAAAGTAATTTACAATGGTAGAATTCCACATTTTATATATATATTCTATTTATTATTATCATAATAAGATTTAATTTTTGTAATCTCTCATAGTGTGGTATCTTTTAAAGTACCACCAATGAAGTATAACAAATTTGTATTGTCATCTTCAGCATAATGTACAAAAATTATTTCGCCAGATATATTCTTCATTTTCCAATGAAATATCAATGGTAGGTTTTTATAGCTAACATTAATACAAATAATATAGAAATCAAGTGATAGAACTATTCTATTTTAACAATTTCATAGATAATTACGTTAAATGTAATGTAATATAATTCGCTTTGTAATTCTGCTGTATCAGACCAAATGGCGACTGTGAGTCTCCTCTCGAATGCAAAGGGTTAACATATCGCAATCGGTCGGAATCCTTCCCGTTAGCCTTCACCAGGACCGATCGAAACGTCGAAAGTCTCGACGAACAGCCGACAACGAACCGGAGGATTTCTCAATCGGGCGTAACTGTTTTATCGCAATTTTACATTCCTCGGGTAACGCGGCCACACGGTTTCGCGCTTTCGATTCACCGCATTCCCCACGTGAATGAACTTAATGACGCGTCTTCGCGGGGTTATGGAGATGCAAAATTGGCGAACCGAGTTAAAGGTCGTCGTCGCGGGTGCTAGACGCGAGAGCTCATTCCAGCCGGTGGCCTGACTCGCGCCTTCCAGCTAGGCTCCGGGGCACATTTAAGGATTTGTCTCGGGAAATTAGATTCTCGCCTGACTTGCAGCCTCGTTGCATCCCCGTTCTCCACGGATTCTTACCCCTTCGTCCACCCTGCTCTTTCTCACTCGCCCACCCCCGCCCGAACACTCCATCCCTTCGTCCTTCACTTCCTCACGCTTCCTTCTGCTATTCTTTGACAGGGAATCCTCCTTCCTTAAGCCCCGAGTACTTTTCATCTAGCGTTCGTTCCCATTGTCGTGCCGGGACACCGTAGGGACCAGGAATTGGACCTTTGTCGCCCGAGCTAAGTGTTAACGTGCCCTTCGCGCGTTCCTTTTCCCGGTCAGGGTCCGGGAGAAATCAAGGAACGAATTAACCCTTGGGAAATTATCTTCTAACTGGACATCGAGAACAAAGCGAACAGTCTGTTTGACGCCGTATTTCCTTTTCTTTTGGCCCGTGCTCGACGGAACGATGATTCCTTTTGTTCCGTCCCCGGATCGGTTTTTGTTCATACCCGTTGCGACTACTTCGTTCATTCGATTAAAACGATGAATGGAATCATATCGGGAAAACACGTGGAAATGGAAAACGATTTGTTCGTAGAACGTTCACTGATTTCGACGTCCGTTTAATTCGCGATAATGAATCGAGTTAAGCCGGCCTTCTGGCCGAGAAGTAATTCGCAGAGGAACCTTCGGAATTTTCTTCTGGACCAATTGAACGAGCGTGCATACTTGAACTTTTTCTCGATCTTCTTACCTGCTTGAAATATTATGAAAATATTTTTGAATATTGTATTCGTTGTCAATCGTAGCAACCATGGTGTTCCTCGTGGTTATCCCCTTGCGTTGGAGATTTGTCCCATACTTTGTGATTTTTCTGCTCGTTTGAAATCAATGAATCAATATTTATTTTATTCGTAGCGGATGCGACTACGGTTGCAATTACAACCATCTATTGAAAAATAAATTTGTTGAAATTGCAGGCACCAGTGACTAAATTTGTACTTTTTACGTTTTAATTCAACTATTCGAAAGATATAGAAATTACTGAAATGTATTTAGTTCCAAGCATAGAGACAGAACATAGAATGTGTATATAAAAGGACGAGCCAATCAAGAAAGTAGTTTCTCAAACAAACGCCCGACAAAGTTGGAAAAGTGAGAAACGAGAATAATGTGTTAAGAGTTTTCCAAACGATTTCGAAACAAACAGTTTGGCATTTATGGCACTTACTCTAATTAGTTATCCCAGGAGACCTTCTTCGTGAGATAAACAAGGGAAACGAAGGATACTATAACTATATATCTTGTTTGTGAGAATTTTACTATTGGCTAATCTCAGCTTCAAGTGGTATGAAAATTAATATCGGCCTTCGTTATATATTGATTATTCTATAACTTCATGTCAAAACTTTTCTAGCACATGTTGTTACCTTTTTTGCTACTTATTCGATCCATAAACTTTTGTAAAATTTCGACTTGCAATAGTTTCATACAAATATTTGACTGTTTTGTGCAACAGGGATGAGAGAATTGACTTCGCAAAAACTGTATGGAAATAAAATTCGAATACAAAATTCAAAAACACAAGTATAAATTTTAAATTACAAAATGATAACGATAGAAAACATTTTCTCTCGTTATATTTTTACACATTATTTATGGTGTTATTTAAAATTTGAATGTATAGTCTTTTAAGTATGCAGCTAAAATAATGTAAACACTGAAAATTTGTAAGCCTCTGAACCAGAAGACCCCCTTAAGTAATTTTCATTTCATTTCATTTTTCGAGATAAACCGATTTACTGAAAATTTAAGATCAATATTTACATTCTAGTAAATGAACAAGAGGACGAACACTCGATGATCTTGCGTCTTCGTTAACTTTCAATAAATCACAGCCTTTCAATACAACAGTGTCACCAAAAATCCTAACACATTATTGACTGACAATTTTACGTAAAAACTATCCCATGTTGCCGATTATTATTTCGTAATTAAATATAAAAGTGAAACAATCGAAATAATCATCAATATACTTCAATTTATACATCATGAATTGAAATGAAACTTTGGACATATTGCAAGTGCAAACATGAGTTAACGTGTAACCGGTCAACAATGTGTTAATAAACTTCAATCAGTTTTAACGCACAGTATCAACAATAACGCATTGAAGCAGAAATTCTCAGAATTCATCTATCGCGTAAAAATTGTATCGAATGTTTTCCGTACTCTTTCCTCGATAAAACAATCATCAAATTTCTGCATCATGACCAGACAAATTCTTGTCCATCCAGTTCTCTGATCGGATAATAAAATTCCTACAATATAACTTATTCTTGCGTTCTTAATGACGGTGGAGGTCGTTAAATGCGATGTAATTACTGACCCATACGTAACTTTCTACCCCGGCGCGTCGTATTGACGACATCATTCCCTGTCTACGAAGGAGCATGTCGTTCTCTCATAATCCTCGAGGATTTCTCGCAATACCTTCGGACCGGAGCAGTTCGTGCCACGTCGACCAACTCAAAGTTGCCAGCAATGAAGGCAACCTTCCCGAGAATCTCGATATCCCTGGATACGTTTATCTGCTCGAACATGGTAGGGCGAGTGATGGTGGCGGAGGCAAGGTGACTCGCCGAGGGATCGAAACTTATCTACTTGCTCAACTAGCTCCGGTATAGCAGCCACCCTTATCCACTCGCTGGAACTTCCACTACCCCTTGAGCTCGAGAGCAACTTCCGCGCGAGATACGCATTTCTCAAATCTGTTTCCGTCGTTGTACACTTAATTCCGGCGGCTTTCGCGAGACAATCGACCATGCTTAGGCCTCAAAGCCATGACAAACTCATCGAAATCTTCATTTCCAAGGTTTCTTTTGAAAATTAATTTTTAAAATGTGTAAATCTAGATGTGTATCGATATAATCGAATAGATTGTTCTGTGGCCACAGGGAGAATGTGTTTTGAATAAAATAAAACTATCTTTTCGAAAATGTTTAGTCATTTTGTAAAATTTCGATTTTCTTTACGTATAAAGAATTGTTGAAAGGAAGACTTAAATTATATCTTTCGTAACAGGAATTTTCTATGTTCGAATATTTTTGAAGTGTGTAAAAGCGAGTTAAGCGTGTGTAATACGTTGGAAGTGTTGTAGCGGTGAACACTCGAGGAACTTTTATCAGCCAATTTATTTTTCTATATTATTATCATATTATTGTTATTACACAATATAATGTAACACTAGATTAGGAAACAGATCTTAAAATAATCAATCTAAAATATGAGTAATAGTTAAACATGGTCTGTAATGTTGACTTTCTGAATGCTTGAAAATAATCATAAAAAGGATCGATATTATTGCAAAGGATATTAGTTGTTATGAATACAAGGTCTATTGAGTTTTCTTCGTTGTGGATACAATGAAAGCAAATATAAAATTCGAATTCGTCAGATCCTTAAAGGGAAAATAAAACTTTAATTGTTCTAAAACATCAATATATTAAATGTAATTATTAATAAGGCGTGAAATAGGTAGCAAATCTGACCAAAGTCTTCTTTCCCCAAAAGTTAGTAGTTCGAATGGAATTAACCACAAAGTTAGTTTAAATAATCAGTTTAAGAAAGTATTGCACTCTCCCAACTTTAGTGTTGAGAACTTTGAAATAAGGGGACCAAATTATAAATCTTTACGCCTGACGCGTCTGAGTCAAGGAGATTGAAGTAGTCTCGACTGAAAGATATAATGAGAAACGATGAATAAATTTAAACATTTAATAGAAAAAATGAATAATTAGCCGCTAATAAAATTAATTCCTGATTCTACGTATTGATTATTGGCAAGGAAGTACTAGATTCACTAGTTCTTAGAAAAATTGATATTCGTTCATTTAGATATTGGAAAACAGAGGTTTAACTCCTTGCCTTATAATAACGTGCCGCGCTCGCGATGAAAATTTCAAACGGAATTCGACATATCTAAGTGTTACTTACTGATTTCTAACATAAATTAAATATTAGTTCTCTATTATTAATCTTTAACCTTTAGAGTGAATGCAGACACAAAGTAAGCATAAAATTCGTTTCCTTTTCTACTAAATTATCAACGACGAGCTTGCTTCATCAAGCGCAGTTGGATAGTAAATCGTAAGGCAAACATTTACCAAATAATGTCTAGAAAATTCAATATGACTCGAATTGACTCGTTCCGTAAATCCAGTGTGAAGAGTGTGATCACATTGACAGTTATTAGTTCGGCGAATGAAATAAGGCATGCGACACTTGGAAATATGAAAGGGAAGATTATTCTCCTCATAATAGAAATGGGTAGTTCTGCGTCGCTGATTAAGTTCAGAAACCTTTTGATCAAAGTCTATCACTGTGAAGGCGTATCTCTGTGGATAGGTATACCGTGTAAGACAGTAGAAGCTGAAGCAGTGACAGTGTTCGGCTTTAGATCGCTCGTCCTATAGTTACGTCAAACTGAGGCTTTGTGGGGTCACACTGAGACAGCCGACCGGAGATTACAATGGCATCTACGCTAGATTAGCATATGAATTACGGGGCCCCTCATCCATTTCTCTCGCTCCACCCCGTAACCCGCTTTTCTCCTTCTTCGGTGCTTCTCCTTCGACGCCATAGATGGATCAAACTCAATTGATCGCACAAAGCCACCATCCCTTTTACGAGACGATCATTTTTCCATGCGTTCGCGTCAAATTGCGAAAGCAAAGGGAACTGGTGACCGAATTGTACGGTAAGAATAGATACAGGTTTAATCCTTATCATTCCAAGAATATCGTAGAATAATTGCCAGCTGCTCCGAATAAATTTCGTTAATTCCAAAGAGGAAATTCCATTCATACATATTTTACTGTTACAATTGTGTTTGATGTATCCGTGTTTGGCAGTAAGACTGTTGGTTAGAGTGATAAAGATTAATATTCTGGCTTGACGTATTGTATAAATCATATACTTAGGTACTGGTAACGTTCATGTTCAGTTATTTTGTAATAGATAATGGCAACAATCATTTTGAATAGATTACATGTATCATATTTCATCACCTTATTTTTAATCAATATTCAGGAACAAAGCGCATTTGAAAACGAAATAGAATAAAGCGCACATAGCGAAAAGCGAACATGGAAAGAATCGCGCAATATAAAATACGCTCAGTCCATAACCCGAACATGTATAAATTGTACAAGTGTAAAACAAAAGGGGAGACATCCTCTTCTTGTGAAAAATAGTTCTATTTATACTAATATTTATTATATAAATAAATTCCTTCTGGATGCACAGTAGGAACAACCGTTAGTACTTATAATAAATCACCAAAAATCTGTAGCATTTAAGAAAAATTGCAAAACAATAAATAATTTATTTAACAATACGTAAGTATTTCATTGGGAAAAATTCAATAAATGTTTCGCATATCTTATATGTGCGGATTATGCGCTGTGCGAATTTTATATTGTGCGATTTTTTCTATGCGCGCATTTTACGTTATGCGTTTTTCTCCTGACCTCTTTTTTCTGGTTACCATAATTTGATTCCGAAAATAATTATGATATTTTGCGTTTATGTTTTTGTAAACGTTGAATGTCGCAAGTGCAACAGGTTTTTTGATACTTCCTTTCCCTCAGTCCTGAAAATAAGAAAAATATTCGGAAATATAATTATAAAATTGTATTGTGATAATTTGAATAAGTATTCGCTCAAATAGAAAAAGTGTTACACACAAATTATTAGTCCTGTAACTAATTTTCAAAATTAAAAAAACGTTGTGTGACGATATCCATTGCTCAACGCAATAATAATTATCGTAATATTTAAAATAAGTTTCATCATAAGAACTTTTGAAAACTTCACTTACAGCTTCATGAGAAGTGCAAATGCATCCATGCTGTTTCCTTTTAGAAAAAGGCAATTATGTAATACGACTGAAGTCTGCAATTATAAGAAACGCCAGCAAAAGATTAAGTTTGCTGTTAAAAATTCTTCTTTTCTAACTTAAAGGAATTTAAGGATTAATTCTATCCTATTACAGCTGCCCGGCATATTTCAGTGTGTTTATTCAGGTATCTATAATACCTATTTATTTTTGTATACTATACTAAGAATAAACCAAGAATTTTTAACCAACGTAATATAATTATTTGTTTTTTAATTACCGTTGGAATGATGAATTTCTTTCACTCAAAAAGTTCGCCGTTTGTATTTATGTGAAAAAGAAATAAATTGAATATTCATCATGAAAAGAATTTACAAATTTGTAATATTATATAATAAACGCAAGCAACGTTTGTTGAGTTTTCATAATTTTATTACATTCTTTCTAAATCTGTATGCACATTCTTTGCCATTCATTCAATATGTATGTATAATACAAACCTGATACCCAATCAACCGTTACCGCGTATTTCAATATATTTGAATTATCTGTTGCACGCGAGTTTTATAATATTTGGTTGTCGCAAAAACTGTAAGATCGCAGATATATCAGTAGATTTTCATTGACACGAAATTAATGAATAACACACAACTCGAAAACGGTGCGGCTGCATTGTACGGAAACGAAATTTTATCGAGGCGTGCTTTTTTGTTTGTTCGATTGAAAGTTACGTATGGGTTGTCAACGGGTATTACTGTGCGTTACAGTGAATGCTTTCCCATTCAATAAAAATATTTCATAGCTCGCCATTAAATCCGCCATATTTTATTGAAACTTTCCATCAATAACGCATCCTTTGTTACACATTCGAAGCCTTTATAAGTAAATGCATTACAGTTTTTAATAATTCTATAGACGCGAAAACGTTTTTGATAATAGAAAACCGGTTGGCTTTCATGGAAAAGTAAAAATAATGACACTGAACTAAAGAAAATGTATGGAATGTGTTTAGCTATAAAACGTACTGTTTCGAGACATTTTATTTATTGTTCATGACTTTTCGTCGTTTATTCGTATTTTGTTAAAGCTCTCTGGCTAAAAGTAACGTCAGTGACAATTGTTTATATATATAAATAATATGCATATATATATATATACATATATAATAAATAATATGCATATTAGGTATACATAATATATCATAGAAACCGTTCTTTAATACTAAAGTCAAGTTGGAAATGAATTTTACGTTTCTTTAGTTTACTTAAATCTTAGTCTTATCAACAAAATTTGATGATAATACAAATTTATACTGGTACGATCGTCTGTTCTCACCTCTGCGGTTTTCACTGTCCGCCGGCTTCACTTGAATACGACGGTTCATCTGTAACATACAGAAAAATATAAAAATTAATTGTGTTATTAGGAAAGATTCTTATAGTTCTTGTAATAGGACTATCAAAATTATTTCCCCGTCATTGCAGCATCAAAAAACAGTGGGAAAAAAGATATTATCGAACCAATAAATACTTATCATTCCACAGATATCCTTCTTAATGTTCTCAAGATCATAAATATTTCTCTGCATATAATTTTCATTACGTACAATTAAAGTTAAAACAGCTGATATTAAAATGAATTTAAAAATACATATACAGCAATCATACAACCCCGAGAAAACCATTGATTCCAAAAATCAACGTTAAAAATGTATATATAAAAAGCTGCATTCTTCATCCTAACCGAGGTAGAGATTTACCTAGTCTGTTTCAGACAAGATATATTTATAACGTCCAGTTTTGTGTCCGTAACAGCAAAAATGCGCGGTGACGCCAACGAGAACAAAAACGGTACATATTAGCGGCAACTTTTCCACGGATCAAGGACTGGCGACAAATTCGTCCGTAATCCGGGTGCAATTTGGCCCCCGTTGCGCTGTTCTAGTTGGAACATTATTACCGTTCGTTGACGAAACTTTCTTTCGCCGTTAACAAGACATATTGCCGTAAAATAAAAGTGGCGATTGGCGGGAACGGCGACGCTG